TGGCAGATTGGCAGGTCGTGGCATAGAAGAGAGTCTGGCAAAGTTTAGCCATGGTTTGGCTGGAGGAAAACCTGTATATGACTGATCACAGAATGGGAAAACAATATTGGAAACCTCAGTTGGTAAACCCAGAAGCAGATACAAGGAGGCTTCAATGCGTACATCGCACTAAACCAGTGTTTCTCATGCTGGGCAATTTAGAGGGGTGTGCACTTGGACCCCAACCTTTCCCCAGCCAGCATGGCTGGGGAATGCTGGGAGTTGAAGTCCACACATCTTAAAGTTGCCAAGCTTGAGAAACACTGGTTTAGTGCGATGTACGCATTGAAGCCTCCTTGTATCTGCTTCTGGGTTTACCAACTGAGGTTTCCAATATTGTTTTCCCATTCTGTGATCAGTCATATACAGGTTTTCCTCCAGCCAAACCATGGCTAAACTTTGCCAGACTCTCTTCTATGCCACGACCTGCCAATCTGCCAATGCAGATCAGCCTTTTCCAACCTGGTGCTTCTCAGTTGTGTTGGACTGACTCAGCCTGACCATACAATCACCCCTAATAATCTCAATCTGTGACCTTCTGCTGTTGAAGTCAGAACACTTTCTCCCCAGACAAAACACGCCTAACCCTACAAGCTGGGATCTGAAAATACTGATGCCGTGCTGCAAATAAACCACAATAAATCAAGCGTGCTAATCATGCAGATTTGTTCAGGATTGCCAGGGCGAAGTATTTGGATAAATTTGACTCTCCTTGAAGCATCTTCAGAGAGTTGTTATAGCAACCAGAGCCCGCTTATTTTATTCCCTGTTCTCCTATAAGTAGATGATGTTTAACAGCACCCCAATCTCTTGCTCTTAAATTGTATTTAAGCCCCACAATTCTATTCCTAGGCCCTGGATTCCTCCCATCACAAAACCTGCAAGTTCATAGGGTTTCTACTGCTGGGAAGGGACCACGGTGTTAACAGATTGCAAGAGCTAAGTTTTAGCAAATTAGCGTTGGAGGGTTTCTATTTTTAAAATATTCTTGTCCACCAAGAACGTACACCAGAACTGCTGAGTCAGAGGGGGATGGTTAAAAATGCCCACGCCTGTCCTTAGAAACGTGTGTAGGTTCCAACTCTAGAACTGGGATCTCGGTGCCATTTCCAGCCACAGGTGTATCAAAATGCTGCAGTCAGCAACTCTTAGAAGCCACAGAGTGATCTGCTCTCTGCCAAGGTGTGAGACGAGGTCTCTGACTCGCCCTAGCAAAACCGGCTGCTCCCTTGAGATGAAACGGCACTTTTTAAAGAATTCGTGGAATCGTCCCTAATTCCAGCGCTAGTGCTGAAAGTCCCAGCTTCATCTCGCAGAATGAATTTTCAGTTCTTACCAAGCAAAACACAATGCAAGGAGGCTCAGCGCTGATGAACAAAGCTGGCGGTTACCATATCCAGCCTCCAGGAGGACATAATTCCCCGAGTTAAATGCGATTTTTTACCAGGCTGATGTAGGCTGGGGAACATCGAACGCTCTGATAATGACAGAGCTTTCTGCCTCAGCTGAATATAAGCCTTACAAGATTATACCCTACGTTTGTTCTTTGGGACTTAGGGAATCAGACTGGAAGGGAAACACCTCCACTTGGAAGGACTTTGGATGCTTACAAAAGGTCTTATGCACGCATGCGTGCGTATTTGCACAGGCACGCACGCTGACCGTCTGAAATGAAACTCAGGTACTTGGAACTGGGCCTGTACAGACACGCTGGGAGGCTCACCTGATGCGCCTGTGTTTTCCGTTTCCAGACAAAGGGCCGATTACAGTCATTCCCCAAGACAAAAAAGAATATTGAAACACCTTAATGGCCACCGTGGCATCAGCTTTTACGAACAAAGGCCTGTTTTGGAGGCAGGCTCACATCATCAGCACTGCAAACAATCGGCCTTGCGTTCTTTCCTTGCTCCTCTCCAGAAAAAAAAATACGCAACAGGAATGCCGCACTGCCAACTCACAAGGAAACAGCCGGGTCCCTGTCTCTTTGAGCTCCCAACAGCTGTAAAAACACCAGCCCAACCTTTGCAGGCTAGCAATTTCAGCGAGGAGGACTACCCGCTACTAGCCCACAAACCGATCTCTTCCAGACACGCGGCACGAAGACCCCATCATCCCCAGCAAACGCTCCCAGTGCCCCGCTGCCAGGGATCATGGGAGCCGATATACACTTCTGGAGGGCGCCAGGTTGGGGAAGGCGGGGCTAACTGAAAAAGAACAAGCTGTTCCTAACCTTACAAGAGGCGTAGGCAGTGGTGAAGACAGTTGGCAACTCACAGCCAGGAGGAGCTCCACGAAAAAGAAGTGCAAAACTAGAAAGGATCTCACAACAAACCCTTAGCACAGCATGTTCTCTTAGGACGGAGAAATTCTATAAAAGGCAAGAGCTGTTTTTCTTTAGGCAGCCGCTGGATAAAGAAACGATATTCTGTTTTACAACCAACAAGGCTTCGCAAGACTTCCAATAAGGCGACTTGCATTTGCTGGGCAAATAATACATCCTCCAGCCAAGCTACCATTTGAAAAGCCACATTTCAGGGATCCAACAGCCAAATCCTCGCTTTTAAAGCTGTGTGGCCGTTTTATTTGACCCCAAGTGAAGCAAAACCCTCTGACTGCCATAGTGCAATTAGTT